AAGGGTTACAAAAAGGAGACTGGGTGATGCTGCGAAACCTGGGGCTAACTGGGAGACACAAAATCGCTGATCGGTGGCGGGCTGAACCCTATACAGTGGTGCGACAACTGGGAGACCTCCCAGTATACGAAATCTCCCCTGAGTCTGGACCGGGTTGAAGTCACGTGGTCCACCGGAACCGCCTGCTGCCTATTGGCGAATTGGTGGGGCCCTTTCCTCCCGAGAGAGAGCTGTGAGAAGAGAGGCCTAGGTCTCCCTGTAGAAGGCAGCCTCACGCCACGCAGCCGGCAGTTGTACCTGCAGCTCCCCTGGAGGACTCTGACTGGTGGTATCCTGCTGACTTTCACCCGAGCTTAGGACTTGCCACTCCTCAGGGCGAAGGGGAGATGGGGACTGCTGCTTGTGGGGCCCTGCCTGGTGAGACTGAAGGAGAAAACATCCCCATGCCTCTACCTGCCAGTGGGGCAGACTCCTCCAGCGAGAGGGAACCTGAGCTGCTGGGGCCCTCATGGAGTCCTACCCCAGACCACACCCCACGACCAAGGCGGGAGTTTCGGCCAGTCTGTCGCTTCACCTATGATGACCCGGGGGTGCCGGGGGAGGTCCTCATCGCTGCCCCTTGGGTCCAGTAGTCCCCCAGGCTGAGGCCTGCACTTCTCTGGGGACGGTGAAGGGTTCCGCGGGGGAGGATGTGACGGGCTGGCTGGCAGTGACCTAGCCCAGGGGTTTTGAAAGGGCAAAAGATGATTGGAGGACTTGGGATTCCCTTTCCTTACTAATCTGGTAATGATTTGGCCCAGGGGTTTTGAAGGGGTAAAAGATGATTGGAGGACTTGGGATTCCCTTTCTGCACCAATCAGGACCCAGAGACTCAACCCCCCGTGTCCCCTGATTGGCCCCTTGGGTCACCTGGGGGGGATAAAAGGGGCAGCATGGGCTGACTCAGGAGAGACCAGCAAGGGCAACAAGGAAGGAGCTTCACAGAGCTGGCAAGAGCGGGCTAGGTGCAGTGCTCCAGAAGGTCCCAAAAGAGCAGGGCCTGCAGGCAGCAGTGGGACCCTCAGCAGCACGGTGTGTGGCTGGCAGGAGAGGCTCCACCCTGGGCTCCAGGATCCCCTAGGAGAGGTTGCAGCCAGCAGGAGAGGCTCCCCTCTGCTCTAGCAAGGATCTGAGCAGCAACCTGAGAGCTTCCCAGCTCTGCTTCCACCTCCTCCAGTCAGAGGCCAGGCAGCTCAATGTGAGGCCAGGGCTCTGGGAAGGTCAAGACCCCTAGTCGGCAGGAGCAGGGCTACCAGTGGTGGCTGTGTGGCCGTGTTCCTGCCTACCATGTGGGACATTTGGGTCCAAGTCCCAGCTGAGGTGTCTTGGGGTGAGTGAGATAACCAGAAGCAAGTCTTCTTGCAGTGGAAAGGGGCCATTGTGTTTTCTCCCCCTCCAGGTACCAAGGCCCTATATATCCTTGTCATTTGACATTTTGCATTTTGTGCCTTTTTATGGCATTTTGTGCCCCTTGGGACATTGTAGTGTCCTCTATACCCTCTGATTTATGCCTGTTACTTTCCTAGTATTAAAAGGTATATGTTTAAGTCCCCATTGGTGGTCTGGCTCTGCTCTACAGGGGGAGGAAAGTCCCTACACCTCCCACAGTGCTTGTGCACCTGCTTTGATCCCTTCAATTGGAGAGGGGATACCTCTTGGAGTACCGCCCGGGTTACATGTTGTTACGGGGGCTTTTGTCCCTCCCATTTAAATAAGGCGCTTCTTGAAAATTAGGCAAAGCAGTTAGCATAATTAACTTGTCATCCAGCATATACAAAAGAACAAAATCCTGAAATGAGCCTACAAAGACGTTGAACAGTTTTATGGCTTTGCAACCCGGATTTGATATTTCTGATTTGTTTAATAAAACCGGCCCAGGAGACTAAACAATTGGGCAATGGTAAGAACGGCATCAGGACCTCCGCTCTTTATTTTCTCCTGTGGTTGGTGTTGCTTTTCCCACAGCAGGCTGCCGAGGTGCGTTCAGGTACGAATGCGCAAAGTTAGGATGGCAGTGATGCTCAACCAGGGCCCCATGGCACCCTGGGGTGCCTTAAGATCCTTACAAGGGTGCCATGCAATGTTAGCACTGTTAGGTGTGCAATCATGGTTCGCAAGATCAGCCCAGAGATTTCAAATAGGAGTCTGTAATGTTGAAAACTTTCTGGCCTGTCATGATCTTTCCAGGTTGTATGCAACAGAAGAATTTTTCTAGTATTTTTCTTTAGTCAAAAACAGGTGAAAACTAAGAGCTGGCATTTTCAGAGGGAGGCCTTGAGCCTATCGAGTTGTACCTTGAAACTAAAATGGTCGAGAACCACAGGGCCAGATCCTGCCCTTTGTTGCAAAGAGGCACTAGCACTTGGGTATAGGGGAGCTACGAGAAGCCACAGGTGTCCGTGTAAGCAGAACAGGACCCCTCCATAAATTATAATGTTACTGTTCTATGAATATAAGTGCTAGTTTCCAAGAGGAAAAATATATACCTG